ACTCACCGTAAAATCCTTTTCTCTCCGTTCATTGAAGGACACAGGCCCCGCCCTCTTTATGGGGTGTACACTCCTAACTGCTTGTTACTAAACTGGAGACTTGTCAGCAGGTGGGGGGTTTGGCCACCGGTAGGGGCCGCCCCTAGGCTGTAATTGGTCTTTAGTTTTGTGCCTAGCGTCCTCCTGCAGGTGGCGATATTACCCTACCATTCAGGATCTATGATCTGTTGCCTGTGTCCTTCAATGAACGGAGAGAAAAGGATTTTACGGTGAGTACAAAAATCCTATTTTTATTTTATTTTTTTAAGTTATGCTATGTGATTGGAAACATGTAACAAATATAAAATAGGTGTTATCACCATTTGGCTGAAAAAGTGAAAATACACTTTAATTTCCTTGGACAGGCATCCTCAACAATTTTTTGTGCAAGCCATAGTCATTTGAGTGATGGTAAAGTGCAAGAGTTAAAAAAAAAAAAATTTAAAACTTTTATTTATTCTTCAGTCTAAAAAGAAGCACAGATGTTATGTTCGGCGGAAAGCAGGTCGTAATCTGTGGCTATGGAGAGGCAAGTAACTTTAAAGTATAATAGGGTGCAATTAACCCCTTAAGGACCCTTTCGCTGCCGAGGCCTTTTTTTCGTTTTGTGCACATGTTCTAATCTACATTTTGAAAATTACTTCAAACCCCCTAACATTATATATTTTCTGAAAGGCAAGATCTTGTAGAATAAAATGTTTATGTTGCACGATATTAGCGCAACTTATTATCAAACCCCCAACATTTTGTGAAAAATGCACTTAAGTTCATTTTAAAATAGATACCCAACATGCCCAGGTTAAAAATTGTGTGCGTCCGTGAAACTGCAACAAAATTCAATACCCAAAAAAGTTCATAGGCGACACTTTAAAAGCCCCTACAGGTCATCAGTTTAGGGATATGCTTAAACACCCCTAGGCACACCCGAAGCATGTTTACATGAAGATGCGCACGCACACAGGGGACTTTTAACCATTTTGTTTCATTATTTTAATAATCATTTTATTTAATATAATTTTTTTAAACTCTTTTTTCCCCCCTTTAATTGCTATCACATGGGGGCTTACAAGCCCCCCATGTGATAGCATATAGATGGTGACACGGGGGG